CTCCTAAGCTGCTTTCAGTTGCTGTGTCTCTCTAGTCTCTTTTAGTCTAGAACAGGGGTCAACAAATGGTGGCCGTGGGGCGTATCTGACTTCCTACCTGCTTTTTTTTATATATATAATATATTTTTATTGATTTCAGAGAGGAAGGAAGAGGGAGAGAGAGATAGAAACATCAATGATGAGAGAGAATCATTGATTGGCTGCCTCCTGCAAGCCCCTCACTGGGGATCGAGCCCACAACCCAGGCATGTGCCCTTGACCGGAATCGAACCTGGGACCTTTCAGTTCGCAGGCCAACACTCTATCCACTGAGCCAAACCGGCGAGGGCCCACCTGCTTTTGTAAGAAGGTGTTTGCTCGAACTTGTTTTTCATTTATGTACGTGGTAGCAGAGTTGAGTAGTTGCGACAGAAGCTGTCTGACTCACAAAACCTACAGTATTTACTATCTGGCCCTTTATGAAGAAGTTTGCCGATCTAGGATTTAGAACTAGCCCCTTGCCTTCATTTTTAACATACTACTGACTGTTTCAGGAGTCCAGAACAATTGTTTATGGAAAACCTCTTCTTTTAGATTGGCCTGATTACATACACTTACATATTAAATTTATTGAAATTTCACACACTGTGAAATTTTAAATATATACATTTAAAAGTATAAAATGCTTATGAAATTCTCTTGCTCCATGGGCCACATGAAACAACGTTCTATGTGCCAAAATTACAAATGAAATCAAAAGGCAAACAACAAATTAAAAAATAATTACAATTCCAGGATCTTGTCTCTTTTCATACTTTATTTTCCAGGGAAGAGAGGGAAAAAAACGTCATGTCTGACATGATAAATAGTTTTAGGTACAAATGGAGGTTAAACCCTTACTGACCAAGTTTTTGTATCTTTTTTCTTTTTTAATCCTCACCTGAGGATATGTTTCCATTGATTTTTAGAGAGAGAGGAAGGTAAAGAGAGAGAGAAAAACATTGATATGAGAGAGAAACATTGATCGGTTGCCTCCTGTACTCGCCCTGACTGGGGACTGAACCTGAAACCTGGGTATGTGCTCTGACCGGGAATCATACCTGTCACCTTTTGTTATATGGAACGATACTCGCACCAACTGAGCCACCTGGCCAGGGCAAGTTTCTATATCACTTAAATAGAGAAAGTACTAGGACAACCAGGGGTCTCCTTTGGAAAATCATAATATATCATTTCAAATAAATGCGCAGGAGTGCATAGAAACTCAGACAGACACACACACACAAGACCGTCAACACCGAGTGCCGGCCATCTGTGGAGCAACATGCCTGACACACAGAAAGTGCTAACTGTCCGTGGGATAAGCCAATGGATACCATTTCTTTACACAGCTGGGCAGGGCAGGTTGTCACAAAAATATTCACACCCATTGATTAGATGATTATTATTATTATTATTACTGTTTTAGTGTAACAAGCATCTGCATCATAGTAGAGGCTTGGCCTTTGTTCTGTTGGGAGCTCATGCGTGCTCATTGAAATAGGCTTCAGTTACCTGGGAACGTGGTCTTAGGGACAGGAGTACAGTGCATTGATTGTACGCATGTGTGTATATGGGAAGCTAGAAAGCGTCCAGCCTCGCCTTCCAGGCAACCTGGTCACTCTAATGAATAGTACCTTCTCCACCTACTCTTTGGACACAGTATGTCGATCCTACTAATCATGTTAAGACATTATGAGTGAAACATAAATCATAATGAAAGAAAGCACGGCTGACTGACTCCATCAGTTCCATAACACGGCCGAGGCTGCATGCCATATAATGTCTCTCCACTTCTCTATAATGTCATTTAACCTATAAAAAAAAAAATTACATCTCCCTAAACCACAGTATATATTTTACAGCAATGTTTAGGAAAAAAAGTTGATAGTCCTCTACGCTAGCACAGCTCACACATACGGCACTGAAGAGCGAGCTGTTGGTCAGAAATCAGGCTGAAGGTTTAAAGAATTCCCGGCTGGTTCTTGAGCAGTGGGTCTTTCTCCTGGCTGCCGGGGGAGAACTTGACCTTTGCGTGCTCCAGGAAAACGTTCAGGCCTTTGCCTTTGATCCCAGCACTGTTTTCTATCGGTTTGTATTCCTTGCGTTTTCTGAAAAGCAATGTGTTAGAAAGGTTTTTAAAACATCCCCACCTGGAAGATATTACTTTCCCCAAGCTTTTACACGCCCAAGTACAAAAGGGTTCATTTCATTTTACCCAATCTATGGCTTTTACTAATACACGGATGTCTTTTGGAAATATGTTTATTTCCTCTTCTTCATGCAAGACATGTGCCTGTTTACTATAATTTGAGCTTCCATGTTAAATATTGAGCTGACACAATTTTGCTAAGTTGCTGACATCTGGTAGCGTTGTTTGGATTAAAAAAACACACACAACAAACCACAGCAAAATCAACAGGCTAGTTTGGTATTCATCATTCAATGGAAGATTTTCCTCCTACACACAAAACGGTTAAAAGCCAAAAAGGGGAAAATGGCCCATTTGCGCAGCACATTGCTACTTATTTTCAACAATGTACCACAGTGATGGAAAGTGTTAGAACCAGCAACTTACTTGTACACCACCAGGGCGACCACAGCAACAAATACGGCCAAGCAGCCCACGGAGGCCAGGGCACCACTCGCCATTCTCATGGGGGAGCCTGGGCCTTAAAAACAGAAGAAAGACCAGATTAGCGACAGCTTCCACCTCGAGGACATGCAGCTTGTAGTGCAATTAAATAAATGACAAAGGGAGCTCTCAGAAGATACGCGGCTCCCTCTGGCTTTCGGTGATCTTTTCCATTAAATAATACATGGCCTTCGGGTCAGCTTAACTCCCATTTGGAGAACGAGTTAGCGTGTCTGGAACACTATGTTAAGGGCTCAGGGGAGAGATGTCACGTCCTGAAGACACCCGCTCAGGTCTCAGCGGACCCAGCAGCGCCCACGTGATGGAGGGCTCCCTGATCCTCCCACCCCCTGCTCTGGCCTCATGGTCCCCTACCTACCTACCTACCTACCTACCCGCTGTGCTGGAAACCTGGGAGCTGCTCATCCTCCCCACACCCTCAAATCCCCCCGCTCTCTGCGGGGAATGTCCTTCCCCAGTTTATCCCAAGTGTCCACCTTCCAGACGTTCATGAGGCGGCGGTAGCCCCTTCCTTGGTCACTGCTCGCCTCTCTTCCTCTGCCTCAATCCCGTTGTGTTGCAATTACTTCCTTACACACATTTTTTCTCCTATTAAATTGTGAGAACCACGAAGCAAGGGTTATGTCTTCTCTGTACTCCAGGAACCCAGCAAATCTTGTCTCTACCGCCAAAGTATAAGTGGAGTTGATCTATTTTCCCTCCATCTCCTCCGCCACCACCATTGCTGTCCCAGCCACCAGCCCTCTCCCCTGGGAAGATCTCTTACCCCCAATGACCCTTGCTGCACTCAGCAGTCAGTAGGACCTTCTGAAAGCATCCATTAGGATCATGCTTCGATCCCACTAGTGGTTCCCCTTACGCACAGAATAAAACCCTAACCCTACAGGTGGCCTGCAAGGATCGCAACGGGCTGCTCATGATTCAAATCCAGGTCTCCGTTCAGCGGAGGCCCCTCACCACGTGGGTGCTGCCGGGTCGGCAGGAAGTCCCCCCACCTCCCAATCTGAAAAGCCAGCATTTGTCGCCTCTCTCCCATGCTAGTCACTCTCCCTGCCCTGCCTTGCTCTGATTTCGTCACCATGCCTTCTTATCTGTTTGTGCTCCATGTCTGCTCACTAAAGCAGGGGTCATCTTCATCTTGTTCCCCACTCGACCTAGAACCGTATAGCCTGTGCCTGGAGCCGTGCTGGGCACAGAGTAGATGCTCACTGAGTATCTGTTGAAAGAATTGCAGCTGCTTTGTGCATGTTCATTGGATCCGTGTGTAAAGGTGAGCATCTATGGATTTGCCTTTGAGCAATGATCTATTTTTCTGAATTCTGACTTTGATACCTGAGTCACCAAGGGACAGCCCCACTGGATTCAAAGCTCTCCTGGACATCCTTAATTTGGATTCTGACAGATGGCTCGGGTCACCCCTAAAGTTATCACTCACTACAAGAAGCATTAAACACGCATCTAGCATCGAATCCAGATAAGAGAACAGTGGTTTGCCGGCACCGAGGAAACTTCATAGCCTAGGTTATGACTTTAAAGGCAACCCTCCTCCCCCTGCCCCCCCAAAAAACCCAGCACAAGAGCCTGGGGGTGGTAGTGTTGAGGCTCCAGCTGCCTTTCTGCCCCCACCTCTCGGCTCTTCACCCCAGAGCCCAATGCACCCGCCCCCCAGGAAGGAGAATTCCTTCCTTTGTATTCTTGTTTTCGTGTGTGTGTATTTTCAAATCTATACCTTGGATCTTACGAACAATAAGCCCTCATACAAATTACATGTGTGGTTACTACAATTACATGTGTGGTTACTACAATTTTTCTTTCCATGAGGCTAAAGCTGCCTTTTATATTAACGACTGAATATGTCTAAGCACATGTTACCTTATGAGACAGGCTCCAATCCAAAGGGGTTACTGGTGAGTTAGTCATTAGGTTGTACCTGATGTATAATGTGTAATGTGTATACAATTTCTTCCTTCCATTCCACCACAGAGCACTGCTTCTAAGAGATAAAGCCGTAACTTCACAACAAAACTGGGGATAAATGAAATTACGTTAGGGTCACCAGGTAGGGACCTTAATTTGAGGTTGGGAAACATTGGAAGCCACCAGTAAATGAACATTTCTCAATGAAATTTCTTAGTCCATTTTGTAAACATTTACCTCTCCAAGCATTGGGAGGGTCAAGATTGATTTTTCTGGTGACCATCTGAGGAATAGGTAAGTTGGTTTCCTACAATCTCTGTGGGATGCTCAGTTGAATTTGGGAAGGGAAAGAGGGAGTGGCAAGTTAGAAGGGAAAGAGGAGCTCATTTGATTTCTTTTCTTTTTTTAAAAAATAATGTAACTCTTCACGAATTTGCGTGTCATCCCTGCGCAGGGGCAATGCTAATCTCTGTGTCATTCCAATTTTAGTGTATGTGCTGCCGAAGCGAGCACCCCACTTGATTTCTTATTTCTCTCCTTGGCTTCATATCTTTGCCCAGCGGCTTCCATGACAACTTGATCCCAGCCTCCCCTCTGCCATGGTTTAACTGGAGAACATTGTTATTTGTTGTTGGTTCGCACTCCCCCTTGGCATAGGAATCCATTCGCGCATTCAGTGATCAGATCCTGTGATTACTGCTCCATGATCAGAGCTGAGTTTTTTTCATCAAAAGGCTTTCTTTGGCCATGATTTCACTCGGTCTCTCTCTCTCTCATCTCTTCCCTAAATAGATTTGCTGTTGGATTTTAATGCCAGTCCTCAAACCCACATTAACAAGAGTTCAATAAACTTTGCGTTGAAATAAAATTAAACATTGATAACAAAGCTCTTCAGTATGAAACGCGATGCCCTTTATCTACACTATGAAATGCTCCCACAACCAAAACACAGAACTCACGTCTGCCCAGGACAGAGACGAGGGTGCTCGTGAGGGCCAGACTCGCATCGTCACCCAGAGTGAGGTTCACACAGTAGGTCCCGGAGCCGTTGAAGGCCCGTCTCACGGTCAGCAAGCACGCGTCGCCCATGGCCACCTCCACGGGGCTGCAGACCGTGTCCTGGGCGAGCTGGCAGGTGGGGTCAGAAACGATGGTACAGACCTCGGTGGGAATGCTGAGGATGTGTACGGCACCGAGAGGGAGAGAGAGGGATGAAACAGCTTTAAAGGAAAAATCATTTCTATAACATTGAAATCCACCTTATTTTTCCTCAAACTATCTGACGTTGAATTGTCACATATTTATCCTTAAACGAGCCTGGGAATGAGCTACTGTTTCCTCCTTATTGTCCGGAAGGTGAGGCCCGGGGATGGAACAGGAAGGAATTATGTGCCACCAAGGCAGGCAAGGGGCTGCTGCACCCTGTGTGAAGCCCAAGCCATTCCCTCTACCTTCTGACTCTCTAGGATGAAGGCGACGTAGGTCTTAGGCCATTGATGGCGAACCTATGACACGTGTGTCAGAGGTGACACGCGAACTCATTTTTTTGGTTGATTTTTCTTTGTTAAATGGCATTTAAATATATAAAATAAATATCAAAAATATAAATCTTTGTTTTACTATGGTTGCAAATATCAAAAAATTTCTATATGTGACACGGCACCAGAGTTAAGTTAGGGTTTTTCAAAATGCTGACACGCCGAGCTCAAAAGGTTCGCCATCACTGTCTTAGGCAAATACATTATTAAATGCTGGAGCCGGCCCTGCCTAGCTTCCTGCAGAGGAAAATACAGCAACAGCAGCGACGACAGCTGAGCAGACGATATTTACTGTGTGAGGCGCTGCATTTTAGATATATGACATGGTCTGTCTATTCCTCTCAATGACTTTATGAGGAAAGTAACATTATCCCAGTGCAGCAAGGGACGAAGCACTCAGGACAGAAAATAATTGGCCCAAGATCACACAGCAGTCAGAGGTGGAGCTGGGACTTGAACTAGAGATGTCTGATAGCTGTCCTGGTGACCACTAGGCTACCGGCCAGGCAGGACTGTCTTGATCACTGTTTCACTTCTGAATAGACTTCCTGGAGGGAGAGACAGGGCTCTGATGCTGGGTCCCATGGGGGCGTGGGCTGCGATGGAGGCATGCCCTGGCCTCTGCCACAGCCTCACTCTTCAGTCAGCTTTTTCTCTAGTTCCTGTCAATCCTCAGTCCCCAAGCTGGAGAGCTTCTTAGCCACCATTTTAAAAATATATATATTTTATTGATTTTTTACAGAGAGGTAGGGAGAGGGATAGAGAGTTAGAAACATCAATGAGAGAGAAACATCGATCAGCTGCCTCCTGCACACCCGCTACTGGGGATGTGCCCACAACCAAGGTACATGCCCTTGACCGGAATCGAACCTGGGACCCTTCAGTCCGCAGGCCGACGCTCTATCCACTGAGCCAAACCGGTGAGGGCTTAGCTACCATTTTTATACTGTCCCACGCTCTTGTTCATTTATACATTTACATACACATACATTTTCTTTTTTTTTAAATAGCAAGTATTTTTATTTATTTATTTTTAAAATATATTTCTTTATTGATTTCAGAGAGGAGGGGAGGAGAGAGAGATAGAAACATCAATGATGAGAGAGAATCATTGATCGGCTGCCTCCTGCACACCCCCTACTGGGGATGGAGCCCGCCACCCAGGCATATGCCCTTGGCTGGAATCGAACCTGGGACCCCTCAGTCCACAGGCTGACGCTCTATCCACTGAGCCAAGCCAGCTAGGGCAACATACACATACATTTTAATCACTGGATTTACGTGTATGTGAATCAGTTAATTCATGAACAATTAATTGATATAGTACATATATTCACTAGTATTTAGTTAGTCTATTATATATAGTTATAGTCAAACTGTAGGAAGCCAAATTATATAATGCACTAGAGGAGCTTTGTAAATGATAAAGAGAGACAGAATTATCAGGCATTGCTGTTAATTAATGCTAGGACCCAGCTATTCCACATTGGTCTCTTGCCACTCTGGAGGAGCCTTGGGGAGCTTAAGAGTGGGGTTCTGCCCTGGCCAGTGTGGCTCAGTTGGTTGAGCATCGTCCTATGCACCAAAAGGTCGCAGGTTTGATTCCAGGTCGGGGCACATGCCTGGGTTGCAGGCTTGATCTCCAGTAGGGGGCATGCAGGAGGCAGCCTATCCATGATTCTCTCTTCTATCAATGTTTCTCTCTCTCTCCCTCTCCCTTCCTCCCTCTCTAAAATCAATAAAAACATATTGGGGAAAAAAAGAGTGGGTTTCTGAGCCAGACCTTGACCTGTGAACTGTGCTGTCAGGTACCCACTGTCTATGGGGGCAAGTTCTGTAATTACTGTGGCCCTATCTGTAAAATGAGGAGACTCACAGGATCGTGTGAGAACAGGTGTACAATGGTAAGAACATAGTAACTGTTCGATCAATAATTATTATTCAGCTTCATCAACAGTTAAAGGTAATGAGCATTGCTCTACTTTAGCAAAACAAATGCATCCTTGAGAAGGCCTCGCAGGGCCCTTCCTTGTCCTGACTTACTGATGAACTAGAAATATGAATCCACTTAGTCGGGGAGACTGGAGTCAGGCCTCTGCTCAGGCCTGGGGTCCTCACTTGACCCGCCCTCTGAGGGAGGCGAAGTACTCACGTCCCTTCGCAGGTCACGAGGAAATCCATCAGGGGGTCCTCGGGCTGTGGCAGGGGCATCAGGACTTCTGCCATATCCACGATGTTCACCTCTCGAATTCCCTCTAACAAAACAAGCCCCCATGGAAAAACACATCAACATACAGTGGAAACCAACCCAAATCAAACTACTCCTTAACACATCAGGAGGCCAAACAAAACGGAGACAGCCTTCTCACACACCACAACCCCAGATCCGGGAATCTACCCCATCGCCTCGCATACGTGCCCCTGCAGCATTTCAAAGTCAAGCTGAATGGCTCTTGAGCCCACCCTAGCTCTTCATTTCTGGATCCCGTGTCTGTGTGAGAAGGTAGGACCCGCTCTGGGCAGGTGTTCCAGGAAAAGGTGCCCCTGGGGGGATGCAGCCCTGGGTGCAGGCCTTGGCCAGCTTTGCTCGTGAGGGGCTCAGCCCCAGGGCACACAGCGTGGGTTTTACCCCCACCCGAGGTCCAGGGTGCATGGCCTGGCTGCAGACCCCACCTGTCTTCTCTGCTGGGTGCTTGTGGGCTGTGCCTGAAATGCACAAATGTGTGTGGTGGCCCTGTTCACTCTCGTTTCTTACATACAAGAAGTGTGCCTTTGTGAAATCAGCTAGGGAAGAAAGCAGAAGTTGTGGGAACTTGTCATCGGCCTTCTTTCAAGGCTTATTCATTCAGGTTTCCGGGATGCACAGGGCCGGAGATACAGGGCCTGGGCAGGCTCATCAGTCTGTGGGCCTCACGGAAGGCTCATTTCTACTGGGATGTGGTGGGAAGGCTGGGGCAGGCAGGTGGGAATCTAGACACCAGTAGAGTCTTTGCTTGTGTATGCGCGGCATCACCTTGGACAGAGAGCGGGTGGCCCTGCTCCGCACCCGCACCCGCCAGAGTCAATGAAGTGAGTGGGTGGCCTGAGGCAGACTCCAACAGCCTTCACCTGCTAGTCTTACCTACAATTGTGATGATGGCCCTGAAGTGGCCGTATCTGTTAATCAGGCAGTCTTTATCGGGAACCTCCCCCAGCTCCAGCAGGCTGTCCCCGGCGGGTGCTGCAGAGTTTGAATAGAGTTTAGGTTAGTTGCTGAGAATGTAAAAGATGTACATGATGGAACCAAAAATCTAAACACCTGTCTGCCTGCTCTTTAGAAAAACATCAAGAACCCTATACTTTTAAATTGCTGTAGAAATGTGAACTAAACGTGTAACGATGCATATAGATGTGAGAGCTGTAAGGCATTATAATTGTTAAATTATGTAAGTAAACACAATCTCATATTTTGCTTAAACACAGGAAGCAAATGAAAGGTAGAAGCCACTTTAAATATGTGATACAACAGTCATGATGAAATAAAGCAGGCCATCATAGACAAGGACATATTTTAATTTTGGAGGCAGGTTTTCTGGGCTCAAATCCCAGATCCTTTGTTTTTAGCTGCTTGAGACCATGGGCATATTATTTCACCTCTCTTTGCCTCAATGGACTCATCTGTAAAATGGGAATAATACTTCCTGACCTGGTGAGGTTGAACTATGAAACTTAAATGAGATGAGGTATATAAAACCTGCTTCTCATACCTGCCACTTCGGAAGTACTTAATAAACATCAGTTTCCTTGTCCCATCATGCACTTCTATACATCTACTTAGATACGGTATGCTATAGCACATATAAGATATATAATTTTAAATAGTAAGGTAGGTGCATCATAGATTAAGAAACAAGCAACATGGAAGAAGGCAATTTTTTCCCTGTTTGGCTGTCTCATAGCTGCTATACTTACGCTCTAAGAGTCCTCAGTTATTGG